TATGGGCCACAGAGAGAGAGAGAGAGAGAGAGAGAAAGAAATGGATTTCACTTTCATTTCCTCAATCACAAAGAAATAGGGGCTTCTGCTGTAAGTGTCAGGAAAAAACTGTCAAGAAAACACACACACGTAGTGAAATTGTGCAGTTTCTGCGTTGGGTCCTGGAGTGTTGTAAATACCCGCGCTCGCCTCCCTCACGACAGAGCGCATATGAGATAAATGACGTCAGTACATAGTAACCTGTTATGATTATTACTATAAACCGATACCGAATTGTCCGCGTCTGCGATGCGGTGCACTGAAGAAACAATTAATTTAACAGCCAGAATAAATAAAGCTAGAGCCTCAACTATTGATGCGTGGAAAGCGGCTAAAGACAAACTGGCAGAATGACTCATGGATAATAGAAGTTAATGTGCTACAACCCGAATCTCTGATATTCTGTGTCTACTTACTTTATTTAGTTTATTACTATGTGTATATTAGAGGTGTGAACCTATACTTACGGTTACGATTATCATGCCTTCGATTTGGTTCAATTCGATATTTCGGTGCATCACGGTGCATTGACGATGCTTTCCATATACAGTGTTATATTTTAGAGGAGAGGCTATAACAAGCTGTCTGTATAAACACACAGAGACACAGCACCACACTGTCTCTCATTCAAACACAAACATAGACAGCACCAAAGAAACAAACATACACACACGCACACACACACACACACACACACGCACACACACTTAAGCCCTCGCAACAGGGAGAGCTCGCGAAGAGCGGAGCAGAAAAGCCAAAAAAAAAAAACGAAAAAAAAAGCACTTTTCCGACGGTCCCTTGCTGAGAGCTCCTCTCAGCGCGAGCTATCCCGGCTAAAAACATATTGCGAGGGCTTAAACGGAGCAGTGCTCGTAGTGTGGAGCGAAAAAAAAGAAAGACAGCTGTGAAACATAACCAGCTTTGTCTTTTTGTAGGAAACACACTTAAGATCTTTTTAGGGTAAGAGGTTTTTGAGTTATTGCTGTCTGTAACTGAAAGTGTGTCAAGAATATCGAAAACAAAACCAACTGAACCAGGCTCATTTCTGGCGCCCTCCTGGATATACAGCGCCCCTAGCATTTGCCCATGGTGCCTATGCCATAAACCGGCCCTGAGTTGGCTGAGTGTTGTAAATACTCGCGCTCACCTCCCATGCGACAGACAGCATAGGAGATAAATGACGTCAGAACATAATAACCGGTTATGATTATTACTGAACCGATACAGAATTGTCCGCGTCTGCATCGTGGTGCACCAAAGAAACAATTAATTTTGACACCCCTAGTGTATATCGATGGATGTATGTGTGTACAGATATGTATATGTATGAGTAGGTATACATACATGTAGCCTATGTAAATGTGTATTATTTTCTATAATATTATAGACTGTAAATATGTTTGTGTTTAAGTTAGGTGTTTATGTTTATATGTATGTACATATTTGAAGAGTTCATATGCAAATGCCGCTATACACCACACTTTCGCCAAAAAACTCTCTGCATTTTAAGAAAAAGAAAACACACTGTACAGTCAGAAGTGTAGCATGCATTCATAATGTGCTTTTGCGCAGCGATGCCACTTTGAATGAGTCCGAATCACTATACATTAAACTGAAACTGCGTTTCACGAAAGACAGAGTTAAGATGCCGTTCTTTTATCGCATGTATATGCTATGAGGATAAACAAGAGACTAAGACCTTAAAGGGCCATGACACCCCCCACTTTCGGTTAAAGTCTACTTTAGAATTTTTTCAAAAGATGCATGATAAATGGGCGTGGAGCTCCGTGAGCATCGAGCAGGAGTGGGCGTGGCCAGCAGGGGAGAACGTGAGCGAACGAAGCTAGCTCACAAAATGAGACAAACCGTGAGGAGACGCATGAGTTTATAGTTTACAAAGTTAAAATGCAAAGAAATGAACAGTGATTTAATGACCTGTTACATTTGTTATTCGTAATTTCATATACACATAACCACAATTTATATCATTATAAAGATAAGTGAGTTCATGTAAACACTATAAATGAGGACTTCTCCCTCAATCCCCATATCCAGCAGACTCAGTGCAGCAGGTCTCCTGACCTGTCTATTTTAACCATCAGCCCTGCTGGTAATCTGGAGGATTTAGGCAAACACAGCAGCACGGCGATGTGTCTGAATGTGAACGAACTCCTGATAAAAGACAGCGTCCGCCATTCTCTAATTCTCGTGCTGCTCTCTCGACAAAAATGCTAGCAGCACACACACAGCTTTGCTGTATGATCGGCCCTGACAAGATCGCGGGGGAAAACATGCAACAAACACCGTGGATGATGGAACACATATGAGCCTTCATGAACGGCTAAATACTGTGCCGTGGTTTCCGTGTGTCACATCTCAGGCTTGACTCTGGCAGGTCTCATGAATAATTAAGCAGCCAGCTCTTCTCTTCTCATCATTGCACTTGCAGTACTGCGCTACGTCGCCGATTTAGATCCGCCTCAAAAATCATTTTAAACCCGGAAGCTGAAATTAGCTGACAAAAGCTCAAAATTATCCAGTTTTCCCCACAATTAAAGCTGACAGGTGCTAACATTGTCTTAACTGATGCTCAACACACACAAATCTGTTAAAATAAAAATAAAAAGTTCTCCGGGGTGTCCTGAACCTTTAAGTATGGTGAGAATAAATGAATAAATGACATCTTCTAAAATTGTGTGAAAGACATCCCCTTTTTACCCAGTAGGCCTTACCTTGTGATTTATCCGCTAATGTAAGCTTTTTAAAAGATAAATATAATGGCTAAAACTATACATTTATTAGCCTACTTCATAATACCTATGGATCTGATAAGCTTTACATATTAATGGACAATGCACAGATATTGATGTTTCACACTACGTTATTTTAATCTACCAAGCTCAGCTTTCAATGTTTACACTGGGTAACACTTTAGAATAACTATCCGTTATAACTAGTTAATAGACCACTAATAAACTGTTTGTTAATGGGTTATAAATTACTTTTTAAATAAAAGGTAATAGTTTGTTATTTATTTATAACTGTGCCTTACAGATGGCTAATGGATAACTTACAAGCTGTTAGTTAACAAGTTGTAAATGACTTCTTAACTGTATTTTAATGATTTATAACTATACCTTATACATTACTAATAGATCATGAACAAGCGGTAAGTAAATAACTTAATAAAGACTTGAGTATCAGTTAATAGTGTACATCAGTTATTGGGACGTTATTCTAAAGTTGCAGCTGTTTTTAATTTATTAACTGTTAGTAAATAAGGAATAATTGCAACTTTAGAATTACGCGTACTGTACCACTCAGTGGAAACGGGCCATAAGTCATCCCTCCTAACAGAAGTGTTCTACAGTCCGTTTGATTGTTTTTCTGCATACATGTTGTAAACTCATTTTTGTGGGTGTGTAAACAAATTACTGTGTGTGACATTATTTTTGTCTGCAGCGTAGGTTAATGTGCTGGGTTCAGCTGGAAACACTAATGCATTCATGTGCTAAACTCATTGATTGTAAATGAATCGGCATTGCCAGGTTAACCAACACAATCTCATGGCAATTCGTAACTTTTTCATTAAGTGGCTAATTCGTACAAATTCGTACAATCTAATTTGTACATTTTAGTACGATTTGCGTATCCCCCAATGACGGTTGGGTTTAGGGGTGGGGTTAGGTGCCACGCCTCCTTTTTAAAATCGTACATTTTCTTACGACTGAACTCGAATTAGCGAATTAGCCACTAAACTGCCAAAACGTAAAATACTTACGTTTTCTCTTGAGATCAGGCTGGGTTAACATAAGGGCTAGGTGAGGTTGAATCCTCAGTGCTCACTCAGGAAGGGGCAACTGACTGGCTGGAGAGTTGAGTAATAGATTTTAAAGGAGCCTTTCTTTATCTGCTCAACTGCATGTTATTTGCAATGTTCTTGTAGTAAAAAACATTTCACTACAAACGATGTACTCTTGTCTACATTTTATTACAGACCAACTTGATTTATTCAGTTTCCTGTATTGCTCAGTCCCTTTATTTATCAGGGGTCACCACATGCACATGTTTTACACAGCGGATATCCTTCCAGATGCAACCCAGTACTGGGAAACATCCATTCAACTCATTCACATTCATACACTATGGCTAATTTAGCTTATTCAATTCACCTATAGTGCATGTGTTTGTAGTGTGGGGGAAACCGGAGGACCCGGAGGAAACCCATGCTAACACGGGGAGAACATGCAAACTCCAACCAGAAATGCCAACTGACCTAGCCAGGACTTGAACCAGTAACATGATAATAATAATAATAATAATAATAATAATAATAATAATAATAATTCCTTACATTTCTATAGCGCTTTTCTGGACGCTGAAAATGTTTTACACATTGGGGGGAATCTTCTTGTCCAACACCAGTGTGCAGTGGGTGGCACGTTCGCTTCACAGCAAGAAGGTTGCTGGTTTGAGCCTTGGCTGGGTCAGTTGGCATTTCTCTGTGGAGTTTGCATATTCTCCTCGTGTTCGCGTGGGTTTTCTCCGGGTACTTTGGTTTCCTCCATAAGTCCAAACACGTGTGGTACAGGTGAATTGGTTAAGCTAAATTGGCTGTAGTGTATGTGTGTAAATGAGTGTGTATGGATATTTCCAAGTGATGGGTTGCAGCTGGAAGGGCATCCGCTGTGTAAAACATGCTGGATAAGTTGGCGGTTCATTCTGCAGTAGCGACCCCAGATTAATAAAGGGACTATAAAGAAAATGGATGGATGGAAGATAAATCAGTTTTTTAATTAGCAATATTTGTTCTAAAACTATCAGTATTACCTAGGAACAGCCAATTATAGAGTTAACCCATGTCAACACATACATTTGTACAAATAATATTTTTTTATAAATAGTTTTTCTTCTGTTTTTTTTTTAATCTGTCCACATGAAAACACAAAAGCATTCTATAGTGCACTGTCAAGAGCACGCCAGACCAGAAGGTGGTGATATAACTCTAAACATAAAGCCATGATGACCATTCAGAGGGCCGAATAAAGGAGATGTTCTTCAGCATGTTATAATGTCTGACATGTTTCAGTCACTATTTGGTGTCTCGGCTGCGACAGATAACATTAAAGGCCTGAGGGGAGTGAACAAGACCAAAGATGCCATCCATGTCTATGGGCTTTGCGTCAGGCGGCCAGGAGAAATGAATCCTCTGTAGGAGAGACGTGATGAACAGGAAGAGCTCCGTCCTTGCCAGTATCTCACCCAGACAGGACCTTGGTCCTGATAACACACACACAAATCAATTTAGCAACTATGGCTTGAGCTTAAATCTGTTTATTAATTTCACAAACAGCTGACTCACCCAGAGAAAACATAATGAAGGACTCCGGCTTGATGAAGTGTCTGTCCTCTAAGAAATTCTCAGGGTTAAATGAATCTGGATGCTTCCAGTGATCCTTACTGCTGAAAATTGCTTGAATGTTGGTCACAATTGTAGTTCCCTATATGATAAAAGATTTTAATTAAGCTTTTTTTTATTATTTATTTTACAAATGATTTCGTATGTGTAACAGAGACCAGCTAGTAAGTGTTGTGCAGGTAAACCTCACTCCTCTGACCTCTAAAAGAAAGGTGCTCTAGCGACAGATGCTAGAGGCCATGGTCTTTAGCCTCCTTGGTAGAGCAACCAACTCACTTGCGGAAGGTCGCTGGTTCGATCCTAGCCCGGAGTGAGTTGGGTGGTGTAGGACTGACAGGGTTACATTGGTGCTGTGACCCGGATGGGAGTGAGGTTTAGGTGGGGAGTGTAACGGAGGCCAGCTAGTAAGTGCTGTGCAGGTAAACCTCACTCCTCTGACCTCTAAAAAAAAAAAAGTGCTCTAGCAACAGATGCTAGAGGCCATGGTCTTTAGCCTCCTTGGTAGAGCAACCGACTCCCATGCGGATGGACGCCAGTTCGATCCCACCCTGGAGCGGGTTGGGTCGTGTAGGACCAACGGGGTTACATATGCCCTATCCATGTATCACATAATGAAAATAGTGTTAAAAGGGTCATATGATGAGTTTTGTGTTTTTCTTTACTTTGTTATGTTACCAACTGTTCGTATATGCACAAGATAAGCAAAGCTACAAAGCTCAAAGTTTTCCACGAAAGGATTTTTCTGTCTAAAAGAGAAGGCCAGATGAAAAGTTGCATTAAACCTCAATATCTAAAGGCCGGCTCACACTGCGAGATTTTTTATAATCCTAAACGTTTGTAGCATGTCAGACTGCACCAACATGGCTTTCATGTCACACTGGATGATCTCAGCCAAACAGCCGATGAAGATAACCAAACACGGTCGGAAACTCTCCCAGATTTGGACGTCATCCACCTGTGACATTTTCACTATCCCGTGTTCTGAAATGACTCCTCACAGCAAACTTACACAATCTGTAGCTGCAATTTTGCACACAGCGCGTCTCAATAATAAAACCAGGAGAAAAATTCCCTGCGGTCAATTGAATTGTCGCATGAATCGCGCCATCAAATTCAGAGCTCCTATTGGTTCTTGAATTGATGCTTAATAAGCAATAACCTGACCTCTGGAGAGCCAGCACACCTCAGTTGTGAAGGAGCTGCTCATGTTTGGTTACCATTTCCTGACATATATAATGAAAATAAGTGTGCATTTATTGGCCATGCTTTTTATTGAATTAATCATTTGCTAATAGAGTGTCTAAAGGAACTCATGCATATTCTTTGATGCGATTCAAAATGAATCATACAGTGAGCTACACTTGGCTAAAAGGGAATATACTTTACACTGGTAACAAGGCCCTTGCCCTGCTAGTGAACGGACTAATCATAGGGTTTGAAAGGGGATGTTACTAATCTGCTGAGCAAAATTATTTCTTAACATGACCTGGCAAAAATCATAATTATAATTCCTTACATTTATATAGCGCTTATCTGGACACTCAAAACCAACCCATGCTCATTCTGAAAACGTAGCCCTGCGGACGTTTCTGGAGACCGCGATTTACATGGCCGATGGTACGTATTGCCACATTTGGTTTTTTCGAGCGAACGCTGGAGGGCGGTGTGACGCCGCTCCTCTTCTTCGCGCTCGCCGGCTGTGACAGCTCACCTGGAGGGCTTTCCCGCCACAACCAGTTTGTCCGCTTAGCTCGCTTTGTCACGTCGGCGGAGCGGAAGCCCAGAGGAGGAGGAGCCGGCCGCGGTGACGACGAACGGGTTCGAGTCCGGGGAAGAGCGGTTCCAGAAATCAGCTAAGATGAAAAACAGAATCCAAAAAATAAAAGGGAACGAGTTGGAGGAGAATGCGGCGAATTTTAAAAACGTAGTCAAAATCGCACGAGGGCTTTTGCTTTTCTTATGTGGACGGCTTTTGTAAATCGTCGCTTGGGTTTAGGAAAGGAGGAGGGTGGCTGGGTCTGCCAAATGACCGGCCGCTCAGTTGATCGTTCAGTCATTCAGCCCGTCATTTGGACAGACGGTTGCCCGACAGTGGCCTTCAGCGGCTTTTTTGCGCGAGAACAGCATGGGTGCGAACGGCGCGCACTCCCGAGAGGCATTAGAGACGCGAAAAAGCACGGTACAGCTGCCTCTCACGGATTCGCAAAAACAAAAACTGCACCAATACGTAGCTCCTGGGACGTATTTCACGGCCTCCAGAAACATCCGCGGGGCTACGTTTCCACGATGAGCCTGGGTTGCTCAAAACGCTTTACACATTGGGGGAATCTCCTCATCCACCGCCAGTGTGCAGCATCCACCTGGATGACATTTTGGGCCAGACCGCACACCACACACCAGCTGATTGGTGAAGAGGAGACAGAGTGATGAAGCCAATTATGATATGGGGATGGTTAGGAGGCCATGATGGACAGAGGCCAGTGGGCAGATTTTTAACAACATAGAGAGTCAGGACCCCGGTTTTCACGTCTCATCCTAAAGACGGCGCTCACTGAGCAGTATAGAGTCCCCATCACTATACTGGGGCATTAGGACCCACACAGACCACAGATTGGGCGCCCCCTGCTGGTCTCACTAACACCACTTTCGACAGCAACCAAGAATTCCAATGATTTGTGTATGTAGAAGTTGTGTTTCAGCAGTTCTAGGCCAGATGACCTTAATTTGAAAGACTGACCTGGCTCCACAGTAACATCTGTATAAATACATTTATGCAAAATGAAGTGTGTAAAATGCCTGAAGCTTTATCTTTATCTTGTTATTTGTGTACAAATCATTTAGATGGATTTTTTTTTAATCAACCAAACAAATTTCAATATGAACAACTTAAACATGAAAGCACAGATGCATGTCAAGTATTACCGTGAACAATCACTTGAATAAATTGACAATAAAAGTGATTTGAATTGAATAACTTCAATAATTCATTCATGCTCCATTTATTACCTGAGGAATGCTGTATCCTTGTAGTTTTGTAGGCAGAATTGTTTCGTGAATCAAAATAGGTATAATGTTTCCATATCGCTGAATCTCGTGAACAGTGGCGAGTGTGTAAGGTAGTCTGTCACGGTCATCCATGCTGGGCAAGCGGTCGTAACCCAGAACCTGAACAATCTCCTCATGACATCTCTCTGTTTTGTGCGACAAAGGGTTAGGGGGAAAAAAGAGACACTGTAATTTTAATGGCATCTATGATCATGTTAGCCTATCTATTTTTATTACGGCTACATAATTTTGGCAGATCGATGTTGTGTCGAAAGCATCTGATTCCTGCAAAGACCCCAGTGACAGACGAGTCCCTGCACTGATCCCTTTGGCTAGTCTGAATACCAGCCTAAAAACCTACTTGGACATACTGTAAGATGGATGCTTATCAAACCTCCACCATCCACAGATTGCAACTCCGCACAAGATGTTTGGCCAGAGATGAACCGGTTATGCCCAGGTGAGCCTGATTACTCTCACGGTTGGGCTGCTCGATTTTGGAAAAAATCATAATCACGATTATTTTGGTCATAATTGTAATCACGATTATTCAAAACAATTAACAGTTGAAATCAAAATTGTTAGCGCTCCTGAGAATTTTGTTTTTTTTTAAACAACTATTTCCCAAATTATGTTAAACAGAGCAAAGAATTTTAACAGTATTTCCTCTAATATTTTTTTTCTTCTAAAGAAAGTCTTATTTGTTTTATTTTAGCTAGAATAAAAGCAGGTTTAAATATTTTGAAACCCATTTCAAGGTCAATATTATTAGCCCCCTTAAGCAATATATTTTTTGATTGTCTGCAGAAGAAACCACTGTTATACAATGACTTGTCTAATTACTCTAATTAAGCCTTTGAATTGCACTTTAATCTGAATGCTTGTATTTTGAAAAACATCTAGTAAAATGTTTTGTACTGTCATCATAGCAAAGATAAAACAAATCAGTAATTAGACATGATATATCAAAACTATTATGTTCAGAAATAAGTAAAAAAAACTTCTTTCCATTAAATAGAAATTGGGAGGAAAAGGGTTGCTAATATTCTGGAGGGCTAATAATTCTGACTTCAACTGTATATATATACAGTTATTTTCCACCCTGCAAAGGAAAGAGAAATAAATACAATAGAATAAAAATATAAAACAAACTGTGCTTTAAGCATCTTCACCCTCAGAAAAACACTTTAGCTACAAAAAAATCCTTCAGTCAGGAGCAGTAAGGGATGTTCTCGTCGTTTGATTAATGATAAAACAGGTGGCAGCATTTCGCACTGTCACTTTAATGGTTTCTCTTTCACGTGTCTTTTGATTCTCAACTAGTTTGTTTATTACGCAAATGAGGGTTAATATGAATAATCACTAATCACCGCGTTTTCACACCTATTTGACCAATAAAGCGCTCATGTTAAGATCACTTTCGATGTCTGCGCTCCTTTGCTCGTCTCAGTGTGTGAATGAGACCGAATGCTGACCGCGCGATTATGCGTGTGCGCGTGTTGCACACAAACATAAGCACGCTGTCTTTCGCGCTTTTGGTATATGATGCAATAATCGTTTATCTCAATTAATGGTTTTTCATAATCGTTAGAAGCCATAATCGAAATTGAAATCTGATTTTCGATTAATTGCACAGCCCTATCTCACGGTTAATTTTTTTTCCACTTTCCTTGATTGGTGAAGTTTGTTACCTGCCACTGTCACTTCTGGCTTTCTTGGCTAACGCCCCATTCACACGAGTCGTCAGCGTCAACGCTTCCCTTTCACTTCGAATGGGTGACGATAGGCGTTGCCGAACTGCATTGTGGATTCGTCGGCGCTGCTTCAGAGACGTTGCTCGCTGCAGAAGTTGGGACTAGCTCAACTTTAAGCGCCAACAGAAGTGTCAGCCAATCAGATCGCTGTATGCAAATACACCAGCTAGACAGTGGCCTATTGCTGACTGAATTTCATTGGCTGACGCTTCTATGACGATCGCTTTAGCCCCAACTTCAGACACGCCTTCAGTCAAGCATTAATGCTGAAGCCTTGTGTGAATGGGGCGTAAGACTGGAGAAGTTGCTCTTCAGTGGATCTTCCTTCACCATTGACGTTTGCAATAAACTGATCCAAGCTAGGCGTCACGGTGGTGTAGTTGGTAGCACAATCGCCTCACAGTAAGAAGGTCGCTGGTTCGAGTTGGCATTTCTGTGAGTTTGCATGTTCTCCCTGTGTTTGTGTGGGTTTTCCCTGCGTGCTCCGGTTTCCCCGACAAGTCATGTGCTATAGGTGAATTGAGTAAGCTAAAACTGTCTGTAGTGTATGTTTGTGAATGCAAGAGTGTATGGGTGTTTTTCAGTGATGGGTTGCACCTGAAAGAACATCCGCTGCATAAAACATGTGCTGGATAAGTAGGCGGACTATTCTGCTGTGGTGACCCATGATTAATAAAGGGACTAAGCTCAAAAGAAAATGAATGAATGATCTGAGCTAGGCATCATGGTGGCACAGGTAGCACAATAACCTCACAGCAAGAAGGTCGCAGTTTGTGTCCCGGCTGGTTCAGTTGGCACTTCTTTGTGGAGTTTGCACGTTCTCCCCGAGTTGCCGTGGGTTTCCTTCGGGTGCCCTGGTTTCCAGCACAAGACATGTGTCAGTTCACGACTGACTATATTAAAATAAGGTCATTTCCAATTCAGTTTCTAATTACAATATCACGTCTTTTTTTAAGAAAACAGCTGCTTTAGAACTTGAAATGTTCAACAACCCTAACAGCATTATATGTCTTAACAATAAAAAAAAAAAAAAAAAAAAAAACATACTCAGACAAGGATCAAAACCCAATCAGCGGCGTCATAATCTAACATGCTAACCACTGGACCACAGAAGTTGTATAGCAAGAAGTGACTCATCTGAGTTATATCATCAATAACCTGCAGGCTGGTTATATATAAACAGAGCAGAGCTGCGGTAAAATAATGAATAAGAAGACTGTGGTCAAATAAATAAATTAATTAAAAAAGTGTGAGTGCTGAGAGCAACAGATTCTGGAGCTAGGGACACCGGCCCTCATGGCCAAAAAAAACAGACCGGCCCACCAGGAATTCTCCCGGTCCTCCCGATTAGCCAATCCTGTATATGGCTTTTACTCTCTTTTTTTCTTCATCCGCTGTATGTTAAGCTGCTTTGACACAATCTACATTGTAAAAAGTGCCATGTTATTTACATTAATGTAGCAACAAACACAAAAAACAGCATTTATTCTGAGGAAACACTGAGTTATTAACATGTGTCTAAGCTAATAGTTTTAGAAAACAGTGATAAAGGCTAAAGTACAAATTCAATCATTACAATTCATATTGTCTACTGCTGATGTTTTGCTTTAGTACCTTGTACATCTGGGTTTTGAATTAAGAAGAGGAGTCCCCATCTGATGGTGGTTTCTGTGGTGTCAGTTCCAGCCATGAACAGGTCACCTGCTGACGCAAGCAAGTTGCCTTCATGAAACGTGGAGTCTTTGTTGAACTTTTGCTGTTCCAAATCAAACAAAATTGTTAGTTAACTGAAGCTCCAGCTAGCTCCAGTTTCTACATTAATAAATATGGAAAGTATTGAAAGATGATCTCACTTTCTCAATCTCCAGCAGATAGGCATCAATGAAGTCTCGTGGACTCCCTGGATCCAGAGTTTTTCTGTGTTCCTCAACTTCATCTCCGAGGAAAATTAATAAATCATCTGTATTCTTCTTAATCTTCTGGTGTGGACCAGGAAAATGCTTAATGAAGGGCACCAAGTTGAAAATCTAAAACAGAAAACCATTATGAGGTAACAGACCAGGGGCCTGTTTCAGAGAGGAGGTTAAGTGAAAACTCTTAGTATTTTAACCCTGAAATGAAAGAAACTCTGGATTTTCCGTTTCAAAATGGCAGGTTTGTTAAACTGGAGAAATCAGGGTAAGTCAAGCCTGTTTCTGAAAGAAAGGTAACTTTAACTCAGAGTCAGTTACCATGGTAACTTACTCTGTGAATCTAACCTGGTCAGGAGCAGGTTTTAATCTCTAAACTCTGAGTTTCTGTCGGTCTCCTCCCCCTTTTTTAAAGATGAAGCGTATTTCTCACCTTAGCCTTACGTCTCAGCGCACCCATTTTAGAGCTCATTTTGGAGATGTGCATAAAAACGATTGATGGAAACGTCATGATTCACATAACTTTTGAAAATATGCATAATAAAACATGTGAATAACTGAGTAGGTTAAACTTTTATTTGATAAGAAAAGATGCGCAGGAACTACGAAGGAAACACTTAACAAATTACAGTATGTGCAATAAAAAAAAGGTTTGTTAGAGATGATGATGAAAATGTGTGTGAATAGACAAACCAGCAGACTGAGCACACTGCAGAACATCTTAAATGTTGTTTTGGTCATTCTACAATGCCTGAACAGTTTCAGTATTAGTGTATGTTATTAATTACCTCCGAGCGTCTGGAGCGTGTCAAGATCTCCGCATCTCATGGCTTCAAACACTCCCACGTGTTCATTGTGTGTCAGCATTGTCGTCTGAGGTGCAAGTACATTTATTAAATAAAAATAATGGGCGCAGCTTCTTCTACCGCAGTAAATTCTGTTTTTACTGTGGATATTTGGCGCAAGTTAATCAGAAAGTGATGATTTTGTTCTCTTTGACTTGTTGGATGTAAACGCTGCTTTATTCGCATCTTTTAAGCGTTATTCCAGTTTTGCACAAATTTATGTAATATATTTGGATGGAAACATAGATATTACCTACATTTTTGTCACACACAGAACAAAGTCACGTACTAGATTGGCTCGTCCTTTTTTCACAAATAATTAGCTTAACCGTTGACATGTACTGTTACTAGATTAATGGAATTATTATTCTTTCTAAAAAGTATTTTTAGCACTGCTTACCTTCTAAATGTCATATCAACCTCTATCACTTGATCAATAAAAAGGCAGACACACAAGTGCACTGCTAAATCTATTAAAACTGCTAAACATGTATAAAAGTTTAGAAACATTTTATAAACGTCACACATTACATTACTTATTTTAATATACTTAAATATTTAAATACTTTAAATTAAAAATTACGCATTAACTTGAGCAGCTGTTTTCTCACGCTAACTGTCTGTTTCACTGATGGTTGCTTCTTTTTAAATATATACACTCATATTTGCTAAAACTTTGCATGAGTAGATCAAATTCAGCCGGAGAAAGAAATGGTGATCTCTTTTTTTTAAGATGTTGCCATGGTCACTCGTAATATCTGTGCTCCATTGATAATGTCTTTTTATAGTCACGGTGTGTGCGCTTAACTCTGAGTTGGTCTACTCAAAGTTCATTGATCTAACTCAGATCAGCTATTCTGAAACTCTGAGTTTTTAATCTTTCGGTAAATCAACTCAGAGTTCAAGTTTAAACTCCGAGTTGTTTGAACCTCCTTACTGAAACAGGCCCCTGTTCTCAATGGTGTCTGGATGCAGCCTTTATGATGCAAGCTGAGATTGCATGACTCAGCGATGCAATGTCAGACACAATGCACTGAATGGAGTGAGTGCTTCACTGTGATGGGTAGGGTTAGGGTTGGGGTTAGGTGAGAGCATTAAAAAGCATTGGATGCAGCTCAGGTTGTACTGCACAGTCTTCAGCCAGACCCCTCTCCCTGTTCTACATGTTATTAATTTTCCCAATATTGATGCTTATTAGTCATGCATTTTGTTCATTTAACAATTAATATTCCCATAGTATAATAATAATTACAAGTGAACATTCAACAATATACAGGTAATATTAGAGCAGTTATTAAAAAATAACAAAAAAAAAAAGATCATATTAAACATTTAATTCTGCTTATAATTATTTTTACATAGAATGGTCTTGGTAAATAATGAGCAAAATTAATATGAATACTCCAGGTGGATGAAGATCCAAATGTACATTCATAATTAAGAAAATGTTGCTCTTTGCTCTTACCCGTCCTGAAGCTGACCCTGCCAGCATGATGGTTTCATTCAGCATTTTCAGAAGGTATTCAAAGCGTTTGTTATTATATTCAAAGCGATCTCCAAACACGATGGAGCAGATGATGTTGGAAACTGCGTTCTGTATGGGATGATGGGGGTCCACTGGCTTGCCTACAAACACAAAAAAAGACTACAATTAGATTAAAAATACATATGATTGAGTGATTGACAAATATTTGTGTAAAATCTGCATAAATAACCCTGAACTTTTAAATATCCATATTATAAAATAAATGTTTCGGAAAGGTTTCTTAGATTTAGTTTGACATTAGTGGCGCAGTAAGTAGTGCTGTTGCCTCACAGCAAGAAGGTCGCTGGGTCACAGGTTCGAGCCTCAGCTGGGTCAGTTGGCGTTTCTGTGTAAAGTTTGCATGTTCTCCATGCATTTGTGTGGGTTTCCTCCGGGTGCTCCGGTTTCCCCCACAGTCCAAAGACATGTGGTACAGGTGAATTGGGTAGGCTAAATTGTCTGTAGTGTATGAGTGTGTGTGTGAATGTGTGTGTGAATGTTTCTTAGAGATTGGTTGCGGCTGGAAGGGCATCTACTGCGTAAAAACATGCTGGATAAGTTGGTGGTTCATTCCGCTGTGGCGACCCCGGATTAATAAAAGGACTAAGGCATACTCACACTATGTACAGTTGCTTTGAACCGGGCCAAAGCACGCTTGTCCCCCCTCCCGTCTCCCCCACGGCCTGCACTCACATTACATTCAGGCCTGGGCATGCTTGCATCATCAATGCAAAGTTTAGGAAGTGCTCTCGCTCAACACAGTGGAGATTTCTCTAGTTATATTGTTTTAGTTGTTTGGGATGCGGTGACACACAGTCAAATATTTCGCCGAACAGATCCGCCACTTTTGACGCTCATAAACAGTCATAATGTCCTCGTGCTGCAGGAATGAGGAGGTCTGCTGAAGCCGCGCAGCTGTGGTGTAGTGAGGGGTTTGCGTCTTTAATAAACTACGACAGTTTGTGTTCGTAACGGTAAGAATGATTAAATAATCCATATGAAACAGTCCCTTAAAAGTCACGTCTCGCTTTCAGTTTCGGGCTTAGTTGCGTTTTGCACTCACACACAAGTGTACCGCGCCAAAGCCCAAGTGAATCGTGCTCAGGCACACCTCTTCCAACCGGGCCAGGGCCAGCCAAGTGAACCATGCTTGAGCCCAATTCAGTGCACTCACACTTCTCAAACAATCCGGGACACGGTTTGGATAGCATAGTGTGAGTGTGCCCTAAGCCGAAAAGAAAATGAATGAATAGTTTGACATTTAAAAAGCACCGGTGAGCTTGTTTGGAGCCTGACACAGTGGGGGATGTGCTCAAGTAGAACATAAACATGTCATACCTTCATCTTTGAGCATTTCAGCAATCAGATATCGGCTTTCCTCTAACACACGGTCTTCAACTGATTTCTTCCCCAGGCCAAAATTCTTGAGTGTGTGCAGAGCGAACCGTCTCTGCTGCCTCCAGGAGTGGTTAAATGTGACCATTGCTATACCTAAGAAGGAGAGAAACAAATCTAGCTTACACATCTTTTGCATAGTGACATGGTTTAATTTTGCTCAATTGTACACTCTTACAAAATGTATCCTGGGATTTATAAACTGACCTTAGGGAAACAAAATGGTTCGTCTATTGCATGTCTGTGAAATCTTTCAATTGGAAGCTTTAATAAGTAAAGTGTTACTGACCGAATCCTTTAGATATCCACTCTATAACAGGCAGATATGGCTTCCCAGAAAAAGTATCCTGAACCAGGGTTTCCTTAGCAAGCTGGATTGTATTAAGGAAAATTGCTGGCTTTCTCCCGAGATACATAGTGGACATGTCTCCATATTGAGACATCTGTTTGAAGGACATAAACAATGCATGTATATGTTTTTCAGAATATAGCAGCAGAGCTTCACAATGAGAGAAAACGGCAAAGACTTACCGATCTTATGAAGCCCAATGGATTCTTCAAGAAATGAGGTATGGTTCCCACAAAAGGCAGAGGTGTTGGACCAGGTGGAGTTCGACGTTTGTAGGAATGAATCCTGAAGATCTCAAACAGAACCAGAATAATTAAGCCTAGAAACAGAGTCAAGCCCACAGAGGCCAGGTCTAACTTCAGGAGAGCCGTAAACATGATGACAGATTGAGTTCGGGACAAACACAACAGCAGCAGAAGGTCATGTGCTTTATAACAGCAGAAGAGGGAGGAGCCAGAGAGTGATTGACCTGCTGTCAGCGCCTTTCAGCCCTGTCTTCACCCCCACTCATGCAGAGCCCCACATCTTATAATTGAAACCTGCTGATTTGCAAAAATATCTCCTCAAATCACTTTATTTAATTAAAATAATCACTTACAAATTTATTATTGTGGAAAAATTATCTCATTATATATTATTGCACTGCCAATAATTGGAGGAGGGAGCAGTATAAAACAATTACTTATCAGACTACTGTATAATTAATCTGACTGCATTAAAGTTGTTATCATTGAGACATTAATGAGAAATAGTTTCATTGCCTTAAAAGTTGTTAATTAGGTTGCATATTTAAATATGCATTCAGTAGAATGAAACATACTAACAGTTTATGAAGAAACTTAACTGTAGCTTATGCATTGCTATGCAGAAAAGACACTGAAACTGCTTTGTTAGAACCAGGTAACCCAGAGTAAACCCTGCTTCTCTGACACACCAGTGCATAGCCGTATAACATAGCCGTATAACATACTGTTATACCAACACAATCTCACGGCAATTCGTAACTTTTTCATTTAGTGGCTAATTCGTATGAATTCGTACGATCTAATTTGTACAATTTAGTACGATTTGCTTATCCCCCAATGACGGTTGGGGTTAGGGGTGGGGTCAGGTGCCACGCCTCCTTTTTAATATCGTACCATTTCGTACGACTGAACTCGTACGAATTCGTACGAATTAGCCACTAAACTGGCAAAACGTAAAATACTTACATTTTCTCGTGAGATTAGGCTGGTTATAAAGTAACAAAGCAGTGTCTTTTCTGCATAGTAATGAAAATTTTACTTACCCTCGGGCCATACAAAAAAAACATTGTCCTTGGTGATGAAAAATGCAAATCAGTATATATAAAAGTCTGTTACTGTTGTCCAGCATGTTTTCATCTTTCACCTTTATTTCTCTAGCGCTTTTACAATGTTGATTGTGTCAAAGCAGGTTAACATAGAAGATCATAGTAAATTAAAACAGTGTCAGTCCAGTTTTCAGAGTTGAATTTCCGTTTAGTTCAGTTCAGTGTGGTTTAATTTTCACTGCTGAAAGTCCAAACACTAAAGAGAAAATCCATCGATGCGCAGCTCCACAAGTCCCGAACCATGCAAGCCAGTGGCGACAGTGGTGAGGAACCAACTTCACCAAGTGACGAAAGTAAAGGGGAAAAAACCTAGAGAGAAATCATGCTCAGTTGGGCACGACCATTTCTCCACTGGCCAAACTTCTTGTGTAGAGCTGCAGTCTAGTAGCAGTTAAGAACTTTGTTACTGTATCAGGCTATTAACTGGTATGTGAAAAAAACAACAGGGTTAAAAACCATTTGCCTTTTCTTCTTACCTTGAGTGAAATACCAACCCCCAGTATCAGCATTGTGAAATCAAAGGTGAGGAGATAGAGAGGGGGAGAAGTACATTACCATACAGCAATCTCTTCAAGTCAGCAGTCATTCATTAGCATAGATCGGATCACAAGACTGTTATTTACAAGAGTAAATAATATATAATATTTTATATTTTCTCTGCTTACAGCATTCATCAAAGTAACACATTAAAAACGTTTTGGTTTGTTTGGCAAACGCAAGTTTATAATTATAATTTTCTCCACGAATCTGGAATTCCTAAAGTTTTGATACTGATACAAGTATAAACAGCAGTAGCAGTAAAGTCTTTTACAAGAGAAAGACATTCCTTTTCCCGTTTCCTTTCCCTTTACAGAGGAAAAAACTGAAAGTTCACAAGGGGTTATAAGTACTTTAAATTATGGCAGTTTTACCAGGAGAAATAACAAAACGGGAGGGTGTTGGGAGATGGGTCTGAAATACTGGAGATTCCCTGGAAAAACAGGAGTGTTGGCAGGTATGCTCACACATACACTCTGCACTCTGACTGCTTCAAATTTGTGGATAAGCCATAGTGGGCGTTTCTCTCTGTCTTGCACTAAATGCAATCGCAATAGACTGTGTCATCCGACCAATCAGCTTAGACTAGCATCATGCTAAGCAGGGGTTAAGGAACAAATGAATAATATATAATATTTAAAAATTTTTCTGCTTGCAGCATTCATCAAAGTGATAAATTAAAAACGTTTTGGTTTGTTTGGCAAACGCAAGTTTATAATTATGGTTTTCTCCACGAATCTGGAATTCCTAAAGTTTTGATACTGATACAAGTATAAACAGCAGTAGCAGTAAAGTCTTTTACAAGAGAAAGACATTCCTTTTCCCATTTCCTTTCCGTTTACAGAGAAAAAAACTCAAAGTTCACAAGGGTTTTCAAGTACTTTAAATTACGGGTTAAATTACGGGAGTTTTACCAGGAGAAATAACAAAACGGGAGGGTGTTGGGAGATGAGTCTGAAATACAGGAGACTTCCTGGAAAAAACAGGAGTGTTGGCAGGTACGCTCACACATACACTCTGCACTCTGACTGCTTCAAATTTGTGGATAAGCCGTGGTGGGCGTTTCTTTCTGTCTTGCACTAAATGCAATCGCAATAGACTGGGTCATCCGACCAATCAGCTCAGACTAGCATCATGCTAAAGAAGGGTTAAGGAACAAATGAATAATATATAATATTTAAAATTTTCTCTGCTTGCAGCATTCATCAAAGTAACACATTAAAAACGTTTTGGTTTGTTTGGCAAACGCAAGTTTATAATTGTAGTTTTCTCCACGAATCTGGAATTCCTAAAGTTTTGACACTGATACAAAAATAAACAGCAGTAAAGTCTTTTACAAGAGAAAGACATTCCTTTTCCTGTTTCATTTCCTTTCCTTTTACAGAAAAAAAAACTCAAAGTTCACAAGGGTTTTCAAGTACTTTAAATTACGGGTTAAATTATGGGAGTTTTACCAGGAGAAATAACAAAACGGGAGGGTGTTGGGAGATGAGTCTGAAATAGAGGAGACTCCCTGGAAAAAACAGGAGTGTTGGCAGGTATGCTCACACATACACTTTGCACTCTGACTGCTTTAAAATTGTGGATAAGCTTCGGTGGCCGTTTCTCTCTGTCGCGCAGTGAATGCAGTCGACTAATCGCAATAGACTGGGTCATTGGACCAATCAGCGCAGATTCGCATCGTGCTAAGGAGGGGTTTGGAAACAAATGAATTGCTGGACGAATCATATGGGAGTCTTTGAGATAATCAAGTAAAAATAAATGCATATTATAAGACAATAAAAGTGTTTTTGTCCTTGCATGCATATCAGTCTGTTGTTGGAGACTCCCAAAACTAAAATATGACTTATTTAATGCACAATAGGGGCTCTTTAAAGTTGACAAAAGCGTGCCTTTTTTTCCCACTATCGTGACATTGAGAAAAATGTAGAGTTGTGATTTTGTTCTTTGGGAATTGTTGAAAGATAAGTACTGCTGACAAAATGCAGGAAGATTGACAAATGGACAAACTCAGGGCAGAAACGAGACCCACCGATAACCCCAACTTTCATGTGATCAGGAGGTGAAGAAAGTCAATTCTAAGTAGAGGGAAGGTTATGGTGTTGGCTAAAGTTTATGAGGCCAAATCAATTTTTATAAAATAATGAATTGCACAGATACATTGTTTATCACAAGAGCTATTATAAACATAAAAATAAGAAGAGTAAATTTAAAATTCATGGTGACTAATAAAACCTTGATTAGCTTATTCAGTTGTGTTTGTAGGTTGAAGCTAAAGTACAGAATCAACTTTCCCTATCCCTGCTGTAGATTGTTGACATCTCGAGATCATGTGACTGCTCTGATTAGATTTAACCTGTGGACAGAATGCAAATAGACTTTTTTAAATAGAGATGCACAACACAGAAGCAGGAGCTTCAAGGTACTGAGTTGTGAGGTTGGAATAAATTAACAATCTAGTAGCCCATGATTAGGCCCACACGGAATCTGTGCGCGCAGAATTCCGCAGATTTTCCGCAGATTTTCCGCAGAATTCCGCAGATTTTTAGCCTATCAATAATTCTGTTTATTTACTTGAATAAATGTGTAAATCTGAATTTATTTAGTTTTTATTCAGTAATGTATTACTTTTTATTTAATATATTTTTATATATTAAAGGTTTTAGTTATGGTACTCCGCTGGATACTCCCAAAATAATTCCGCAGAAATCCGCAGATTTTTACCAAAATTCTCTGCAGAAATAGCAAAAAACGTCCGCAGATTCTGTCTGGCCCTGCCCATTATTGCACCGGGGCCTAGTATTGATGAGTGGACTTTCAAAAAGGACCTATAAAGTAACACCTTTTTTGAAGGAACGATTGGGATTTTGCGAATGAACGAGTAATTAAGGTCAGCCTCTGGACAGCTTATGAATGAATTGAAAGAGTCACACCTCCATATAGTGGAAGTGTTCAGTGTAGGTTGATCCTTGATTGTCTGAATAATTATATTGTGTAATAGATTTTACATTTACATTTAGTCATTTAGCAGACGCTTTTATCCAAAGCGACTTACAAATGAGGACAAGGAAGCAACTTACACAACTATAAGAGCAACAATGAGTGAGTGCTAAAGGCAAGTTTCAGGTGTGTAAAGTCTAAGAAGCAAAACATTAGTTTTTTTTTTTTGTAATACAGTTAGCGGCGGAGCCAGAGAGGCAATTGAAGATTAGGAAGGATAGTGGAAACTAAATAGTTGAGTTTTTAGTCGTTTCTTGAAGACAGCGAGTGACTCTGCCGCTCTGATGCAGTTAGGGAGTTCATTCCACCAACTGGGCAGATTGAATGCGAGAGTTCGGGAAAGTGATTTCTTCCCTCTTTGGGATTGAACCACGAGACGACGTTCATTCACAGAACGCAAGTTTCTGGAGGGCACATAAATCTGCAGAAGTGAGAGCAGATAAGAAGGAGCAAAGCCAGAGGTCGCTTTGTAAGTAAACATCAGAGCTTTGAATTTGATGCGAGCAGCAACTGGCAGCCAGTGCAAACGGGTGAGTAGCGGAGTGACATGTGCTCTTTTAGGTTCATTAAA